GCCGCGTTGGCGCTGGCCGCTGGTGCCCTCCAAGCGCGTCTTGCGCGCCGCGCTGGCGCTCGGGCGCGTCAATGCGAGTCGGCGCCTCGAGCGGGCGCCGTGCCGTGGCGACGCCGACATTGGCAGACGCGACGATGATGGTGGCGATGCTGGTGGCGACGCCGACGATGACGTCGGCGAGGCCAACGACGGCGCCGATGCTGATCGCGCCGATGACGGCGGCGGTGTCATGCCTCTAGCCAGCGCGCGAGGGCATTGTAATAAATTTCACCCGCGCGCGCGAAGGCCTCCGTTGGCAGGAATGTTGAAGCAGCGTAGGGTTTCCCAGGAGTCCGCGAGAGCGCCCAGGATGACATGTTGAACTTTCGGTTGAAATGCATTTTTCGTTTTATGTTTTCACGCTGGAATCGCTGGGGGAGAAAAAACAAAGGTGTTGGAAGGGTTTCGTTTTGCGCGCGCGCGAGTGGCCCGCGTGGTTTTATTCTAATTGGATTCGTGCGTTCAGCTCATCTCAGAAGGATGCATGTGCATCGCATTGTACTATTCGACAGGGATGAGGGGGGCACCGGTACCGGGACTAGCTGGGATGGTATGAAGTCACATGGGAAATGAGCAACGTGGCAGAATCCCAGGTAAATTGCAATACCCCAGGGGTAAGTTTTTATCCCGGGGTGGTGGTGGGGGTCGAATTACATTTTTCAGGAAGGATAATCTAGGTGGGGCAATGTACGTGGTGCAATCTCGCCCCATCCAACGTGAAGTTGCCAACTCCAGTGCTCGTGCAGTCACCCCGCCCGCCCGCCCACCTGCAACTTGGCTGTGTAAGCCAAGCTCCGGGTGTGTGGGTGGGCCGATGGCGGGCGCAGTGGAGTCAGCGACCCGTTGCTAACAGAAATAAGTTGCACCGCGTACATTCTCTGGTAAAGAAGGCAGCTTTGATCTCCCCCCAGGGTGATCCGTCACCCCTGTGGATTTGCGATTTATTTGTGGTTCTAACCCGTTGTTCATTTTCCGTCTGAAATCATGACATCCCGGCCGAGCAGGGCTCGACCCCCCCCCCTCGTCCCTGACAAATGATATTTTGCGCTCGTGCTCCTCTAATAACATGCATCAGTTTGCCCAGATATTACAACCGCTGCGAAGAAAATCGCGCGCGTGCGTCGTCGCGCGCGAATGCATACATCCTGCGAGAATTTTTGTTTCGTCAAAATTCTAAGATCGAGTGTTCCGAACACGTTTTTTCCCAGTCAGAGCCAACATGGTTTCGCAGCGCGTCTTTGAAACAAGTGCGCGCGCTGTCGTGAATTCGCATGGCAACGTTGTGTTCCCAAAGTTTTGAGCAAATGCGACGAAACGGGTCTCTTGCGCGCGCGTGTCGAAATCATCCGGGCGCCTTCGCGGTCGCGTGGAGGCGCGGGGGGGGGGGGGGGGGGGGGGGCGCGATCCCGGTCGAATAAAACCGCGAGGGCGGTTCGCGCGCGTCAGCCCGCGCGCGTCGGCCGCGCGCGCGTGTCGCAGCCTGCTTGCAGCCGTCATCGCCGACGC